CAAAAACTGACTAAAAATTCAATATCTCAGCAACAAAGCACCATGGGGATGAACCAACTTAGGGTATTTCACTACTCACTGAGATCTACAAGATACAAGTAGTCCGAATTCAAAAGCGATTTATAACCTCAAGAGGTACCCTCGTTAGTGCTTTAAACACTCCTTTAGTCATTTTTCTGCCATAATGAAAAATTATATATTTTTCAAAAGTATACCATTGGATAGCCCTTGAAATTCTCCACAAAGTAAGCTGATCAGAATACCCAGACAGGTAAGACCAGTCATTAAAGATATGTAAAAGAAGCGTTTGGGTATTATCTATACAGTACGGTGTGTCATAATCACAAGAACTCCTTTGTTTTTTATTTTTCAGTAAAAGCTGAAATCAATCTGAATACTGTTTTGAACGGACCGAAGATTTTTCTACCAGATGAGGTGCATATTGCTGTTTCATGAGAAAAGCTGATAATACGGTTTCCCAGAAACCTGACCGCTAGAAAACCAAGTCCATGGCTTATGGTCAGAAAATTTTGCGAACCATATACCTTGATAGAGCAAAGAATTCTGAGAAAAATAAGACATCTCCTGGTTGTCTATAACGCTGTTTCACCCAACTGCAGTCGATTTACGAATGGCTACTAAGGGTGTGAAAATTATCAAAACACTTCGTTGAAAAAGCATTATAGACAGCCGAGCGATTTCTTATTTTCCTCAGAAAAAATCGAGAGAATATCGCAAATCGTTTACAACTGTCACTAGTGTATATTTATACCAAGCCGAAATCAACAGATGCCTTTAAATTATCTGGTGTCTATGGCCCATATGATACGGGAGGTTTTATTGTTTATTTTGAAATCGGACGAGAAACTTGCGGAGAAAGATAAATGGCGTTTGTTGAACTGGTGGCAAAAGATGAAAAGGAATTTTGTTTTCAAAGACATCAGAAGGAATTTTTGACAGTGTGAAGTGAAAAGGGAAGCATTTCCGATCATTTTCACTCAAAATCCTATTGGGCCATTTTCTAGTAGAAACCGTCTCCCGTCCTTTGTTTATCTCTCCTTCTTTCATGAGATCATGGAAAATTCGCATTCGCGGCGACCTAAATTATTCCTTACCATTTCCATATGCAACATGTCTTCATACTGGCTGTAGACTTACAATGTTTATCTTTTCTCTCACTAGTTCAGGTCACCATCTAGGTCAGGTAAGGATCGCGACTCACTCTCATGGCATCTTCTCCCTCCTTTGACACGCATCTTCACTTCGACACCTCGATGTACATGTTTAGAAGGATATGGATCCATTGAACAAACTCTTGGAAAATAGCTGACATAAAAAATACATCAGAAAATACATCAATAAAAAATTTAGGGACTATCAATATCTGACCATTTGAATACATATGAATAAGAATCATAAGAAATCATAAGAATCATAAGAAATATGATGACCTGAACTAGTCAGAAAATAAGAGAGAATTTGCAATCACATCATATACAACAATACGCATTTTTATCATCTACTGCATACTGAAATGAATTTCCAGCGTGAATTCATTTTGCTGTTTACCTGTAATAGCTTATAACATTTACCATGTCATTTTCCTCTGATATAATGGCCTAGGCCACATCTGTGTAAAGTGACTATACTTATTTCTCTCTCTTGAATAATAAAGTTTAAACTAATTCATTTTTTAATAAATCAAATTCTCGGCGAATGTCTATTTTCCAAGCTATGTCTTTCATGTTCGAATGCGCTAGACGCATAGCGTTAAGAACAACGTTGACACGAGCGTTTTATTAATCTGACGTGTATTAATATCAAACATTCAAGTTAAAGCAGAAATACGAAAAGCTTCTTGAAAAACCATGATGTTTAATTTTAAAATCCTAAAAGTTCGAAAGTAACATCATTCACCAATGATGTCGAATATTTCAAGTAAAATTTTTTGATTTCTAACATGAAAAATCATGTCAGATAAATTTTAAAAACAAAACAAATTCATTTTCTTTTTCAATATTCTAGTTTTGATAAATATTGCGAGGCTATCTGATACTTTCTCGGTATATTAATTTAAAAGGTCAAGAAAGAAAGAGATATTCTTAAACTTAATATCACACGTAATCTATCATTTTTACAAATATTTATTGAAAAGTATATTCGCTACACGTTAAAGAGTGCTAAAACAATTAAAATGATCTTTTATTCACAAAAATCAATCATATCTGAGTGTTAGAATTGCCACTTTGTTCCTCCAATAATAATGTTTCTGTACTACTCGTTGTTGTATTTACATTTAAATCTTTTAAAAATTCTTCAAACCATATTTGTTCTTCGACCGGTGCAAAATGTTCCATTTCTAAAAAGAAACCGAACAAGTGATAGAATATAATGTATAGAATAGAACAGATAGATAGTACCGTTCAATAAATAAAGTCTCGATTCACCATATAAATTTGATGTCTGTTCAACAAATGATCGAAATGTAATTTTTTCAGCTTGCCAACGTGATAATAAATCGCCAAATTTTGTCAATTCTTCTTGATTCAATTCTTTTTGGAGCTAAAGAAGAATTAGTTTACGGTGTTTTTTTTTTTTTTTTTGTTTTTACTGAAATTGAGAGAGTATGCATGCTACTTACATGAACTAAATAATTTCGTATTATGTGTAAATATGATTTGATTCCTTTTGTTGAAGATTCAGCAGACTTTGTACTTTTTTTTGAATTTCGATCTCGTCTATAAATAAATGAAGTAGAAAGAAAGAGAAAATTTGTTTAATGTCTATGATATTTATACTATACCGATGATGTCGGTGTGCTGGAATATTTATTTCAGATGATGTAGATGATTCAGTTGTAACTATTGTTGATGTTTCAACGGATAAATTCGGATCCGAATGCCATATTGTTGTTTCTTTGTTTGGTACATTTTGTGTATTATTATTTTTTATCGATGATATAGAAGTTGCTGTATTTGATTGTGTTGCTGATAATGGTAGTTTGAGTAACGATAGTTTATTTGCTATATTAGAACTATATTCATTGGCAATATAAATTGAACGAAAACAATAATCCATTGATGAACACAAATCATCAGCATCACGACGATCAAACATTAAAAATACAGCAAGTTCAATTTTTTCTGTTGTACGAACTATAACAAAAAAACTTTGAACAATAATTCAATCGAACAAAGTATTTTGTTTTTGAAATATACTAAATTTCATTGCCATAATGTGATTCAATCGATATTCTACATAGTAACACATTATTGTATTTTGTGGTGCCAGTGATAGAATAGTGTTCTAAAAATAATAAATATCCATTAATAAATTAAAGTTAATGTTGAATATTAACCCATTTTCTCTTTCTCACTTGATCAGAATCCATAAATGTCATGATTTCTGTAGTAATATGTAATTGGACAGTTGATCTTTCTGTTAAATTTGTTGATAGATTATTCTCAAGCTGAAAACTAGAATATTGATCAAACTAGTGCATAAATATTTTGATAATTGAATACCTGATGTCGATAAATTAACATGAGCAATTTTTTCTTATATGATAAATCTTTGTCGTCTGCTTGACTTAATTCAATCGTTCCAGCATACTAAAAATTTGTAAACATTATTTGTTTTACTTTTACTCTTCAAGATCTGGCAAAATATGTTTTCTTTTATTCAATGAAAAAATTTTGATCTACTCTTCTTAATAACTACAGCAATAAAAATAAAAGATTTTTATAATGGAAGAAACAGTTGTAAATTTAAGAGTAGACTATTGTGTTACATCTCTCATAGTAAGAGAAAACTCTTACACTAAATTATTGTAAAATATACGTAATAGTTGTGACTGTTAATAAACCGACGAACTGTCCATATAAATTAATTTTCTTCAAGAATTTATGACTAAACTTTTTAAGTTTTATGAAGATCAGAATATTTTCGTCTTAATTGTGCTACATACAGTTGTTGTTGTTGTTTTTTTTTCGAAACAACTATATATTGGAAAAAAAGTGAATTGTTTTCGTAAATAAGACAATTTTACTTGTACAAAAAACGTTGCCTTTCCATTATCAGCTAAATTATTTGACCATGGCGAAGGTGGTCGATGTATTCGACTATGACGCGATGGAGTTCTCGATAAATGATTTAGGAAAGGTGATGATACACTTGTAAATGTAAACATCTGAAAATATTGATAACGTGATCATTATCTACTGTTTTAGTTACATTTGTACATTATTTTTTTCTTGTGGATTTCTTTAGACCGAAAAAAAATTCCGAACAAAAAAACTGTATAAAAAAATGAAAAGAAACGAAAAATAATCAATAAAATTTCCATGTTATGGACGAATGAAAAAGAGAAGAGAAGCTTGTTCACAATTCTTTTTTTTCTTTTTTTTTTTAAAAAAATGACCATGATAATTACAACAAAAAATATTCATTTCTCTAACAATTATCATTCATTCCAAAGATTCTTATTCGTTCTTTCATAAACAAAAAAAAAACAAAAAAAAAAAAAATCACTATGCATTATTTATCCTAAGAAGAATGGAGATCTTTTTTTCTGTTCACAAGCAAATAGATCATTCTGTTCAGATAACTAAGATGTTTTTAACAATGTCTGACATCGTTCAATACATTCGATAACATTTGGCGGAAAATTATTTGATATTTTTACTAAAGATTGCAAAAATAATTCAGCACTACTTTTTTTATTTGATCGTGCATCAGTAATCAAATCTGGATTAACACAAAATAATGTTTCAAGACCTAATAATAATTTGTGTCCACTATCTGGCTCTAATTGTATATCGACAAATTCTTTATAACATTCATAAATATAGGATGCTAATGGTATTAGTTTTTTACGATAAGTACATATGGCATAATTTAAAATAACTATTGTCAATGCAATTTGTACATTCTTTTTTGATGATGGTAAAAGTATAATAGTTTTTGCCAAAATTGAATCTTTATATTTTAACATAATATTTTCACCGAGAATTGTTGAAAATAAATTTGCAAATGTACGATAAGTCAACATAATATTAGGTGGTGGTTGATCAAGATCAAGATTATTAAATAATATAGTCATAAAATTAGCGATTTTTTCATCAGATGAAAATAATAATTCACATACATTATCTTGAACTATAATCAATCGTAAAATATCTAATGCAGGAAATACTTTATCTTAAGGAAAATAAACAACAATATCAACAAATTATTAGCTATACTCAAAGGTCTAATAAAAAAAAGATGACTCTTACCTGGTGGCCATCTTAATAAGTGTAATATTACATTTAATTTTGTTTCGAGATTTGTATAATCATTATTCACTAAATCACTAATACTTTGTAATTGTGCATCGGACAACCTTAATTCATCACCAATTTCACTCTTATTAAATTCTTTTAATTTTCCTAATATTTTTGTTTGTTCAGCATTCACTAATTTTATGTATTGTGTTTGAGGACATATAGCAGCATCTCGTTCTATGATAATACACACATACTCAATAAATAAAATAAAAAATATAACCTAACACATACTTGTGACAGGGTAGTTTGATGGTTGGGACTGCTGTTGTGCACCTGCACTATCAGGAATATAACGACCGGTACCCGTAAATGGATCAGTATTTCTCGATTGAGTAGTACTCGACTTGCCCACTGGTACATAACGTCCACTACCTAGAACAAAAACAATGTAAATGTGGTATAGTGGTAACGTGTTTTGTACTTTTTTTTACTACGCATACCCGTAAACGGATCAACAAAATCCGGTGCTTTTTGGTCGATGACCATTCCTTTTGTATTTGTAACAATAAAATTGGCTATTTGATCAAGAAACATTTGACTTAATTCGTGACGATAAATAAAATTTTGAGCAGCAAACCACGGATCTTCTGTTGCATTATATGGCAATTTTAATGGAATATGTTCGTCACCAAGATCAACATTAAAAACATAATCGTAGAGTTTTCCTTCAAACATAATTTTTTCACCCGTTGCCGTTTGACCATCACTTGTACTATCAGCTGAGCCAACAACATCACCAATTTTCATCCATCGTCGATCTGTATCATTCCACTGATATGCTTCAACATTTCCATTACCACAATTGATCATTGTTGTTTGTCCATCACGTTTGCCTAAAGAAAAACACGAAAATATCGTTGAAGTAGATTAAAAATACTTTCAGAATATCCACGAGGGTAAAATCAACATTTACAATATCATCTAAATAGTTAATAGTCGTTAATATAAGTACCTGGCTTTTCCAACGCTTCTTTTCCAGGCAAATCGTCTATTTTAACTTCTCCTAAATCGCCCGTTTTTGTTGTTATACTTGATTGACTTATTTCCTGTTCAAAATTCGCAATTTCTTCATTACTTGCTGTTCTCGATTGATCTGTAGTGAAAACATATACTCTACCATCACTAAAAATTGAAAAGCAAAATATTCATATTAGATTTTTACCAGTAAAAATAATATACAACTAATACCTTGAGCCAACAACAATATCTTGATTTGATAAAACTGTCACAGACCAAAGGCTTTGAGCTGGTAAACGAATAGTTTGTATAGATTCATTATTATCAATGGACCATAAGCGTATCGAACGATCTTCACCGGATGAAACAAATCGGTTTTCTGATATAACGCTAATACTATAGACAAAACTTGTGTGCCCATTATATTCCTGTATACATTGACCAGATATTAAATTCCATCGACGAATACTATTATCATTTGCACAAGATAAAAATTCATCTTTATTTAATACAGCTAAACCACGTATACAATCGGTGTGTCCTTCAAATAATAAAAGGCTTGTGCATGAAAATTTTTATGAAAAACCAGCAAGTTTACCTTTGAATGTTTTAATTATTTGTCCTTGATTCCATGCTATTATAACTTTATCGGCTGCACCGGTAACAATCGTTGATCCCATTGGAATAATAGCCCACAAGGCTTTTTCATGACCTTTAATGAGAAATATAGAGATATTAAACAATCAATTTGTTTATATTTGTATGTAGACAGGTCCTCAAATATTATTTATCAAACTTTTTTTGACAGGTATGTACAATGTGATTCAAAATAACTGTATAAATGCGAGTTGCGTAGTCTTCTATGATAACGCACATGCGCATGATTTGACAAATTGAATGTTAAGGAATAGAAAATCTTCTATTGGTTCGTGTATTTGGAAACAAGATTAGCTAGCGCTCTGTTCAAATTCGACAGTTAGTTTACATCCTGATAGATTACAGAATCTACTCTAATATTAGTCATAAGATATCATTCCCTACAAAAAGACTTTCAGTGTGGTACTTTTTGTAGCGCTGTTAAAGCTGAAGAAAAAAGAGAATTAGAGGAAGTTTATTACGTTAGTTTCTCCGTTGTCTAAGCAATACACCCCTTCGAACCGTACTTCACGAAATTACGCCTCCATCATTGACACTTTCGTACAGTGGCATTCAAGTTCGATATGCCGACCGTTTTAGTTTTTGATACACGAAGATGATTTAATGACTCATCTAGAAATAGATACCTGAAATCATAACCAAACTTGACTCGATCCTAGGATCGGATCGGACCGGAGCCAGATTAAATATTATATACTGCGAACTATTTTCTTTTACTTTGTTTTATGTTAAAAATTGATAATAAGCTGATGTGAAGTTCTTAGACGCAACGATTCACACACAATTGTTAAGAATGTTGCATTTACGTATGTTCCTATGTACTGAAGATCTGAGGTTCGACTTTAGCTTTGTTGGATCGGGTTCAAGCTGAAATTTTCTCAATCTGTAATGATCCCTATCAATAAACCGGTGTCAGGTTGTTTAATGATGATGCCATTCTTATTCAACATAAGTCTGATCAAGTAGTGGACACTTCAGTGCCATTGCTAAAGTGTTTGTGCAGGAAAGAAAATGAAATAGACCATTATATCTTATAATGTCTCCAATATACTGTCCGAAGAGTAAATATTTTAGCTAAAGTGAGTTTCTTGAGCGCTAGAGTCAAAACATTATTCCTTAACGACAGATAGCGGGCAATCATATGGACATTTGGAAAAATTTAGAAAGAGAGATTCTAATACAGTCTCATATAGCTCGGGCATGCCCTGTTTAATGGCATAAAACTAACTCTTTTCAAATCTCATGATTCATCGGAGAACACTTAGTCAAAAACTAGCAAAAAAACCGATGTTTTACGAAAAAAGTCTTTTTTGTTGAATGGATTAACCCTAGATATAGAAGCCGTACAGATTCTGAATCTAGACACCTAGGACTATATTTTAGTGCAAAATGTTTTTAGTTCAGACTTATAAGCACGGACCTAGGCATGTACCAATACCAATCGTTATTGGAGATATTGTACAATACTATTGGGTATCCAATAATATTCGGATCCAATATATTGGATCTATTGGAACCAATAATATTGGTCATCCAATCTGTTAGAACCAATAATATTGGTCACACAATCTATTGGAACCAATAATATTGGTCACTCAGTATATTGGGACCAATAATATTGGATTCCGCAGT